TACCCGGTGGGACACTCCTCGGCTACAAAAAAGATGAGGTCGCGCCATTTGCAACAGCATGGATGGACCTACAAGGGCTTATGTGTAGTGAAACAAGGCAGAGAAGACAGACACTGCGCGATTTCACGCATGCGGTACACAGAGAGGACAAACAGATGAAGTAACGGAATAAGAACAACCCTCTGGACTATGAGACTAACTAGTGGTGACCAGAAGGGAGGGGAGGGCGTGGACACGGGACCAAAGGGACGGTGGCGCAATGCAGGACGATCTGGGCTTCCAGCAGGGATCTCCCCGGAACGGACATTTATTATTTACTCTCGGCATGAACACCTGAAACGTATTGAATGTTCTAATGCAACGTTACTTCAATTGAAAAATAAAATACAGCCACGCAGACACACAAAAACCACCGTCAGGCAGTTGATGAGGGCAGGCCGGCTGGCCTCGCTGTGCTTCCACCCTCAAAGTGCTCATCATCAGGTGCCAATGGCACCCCACTGTTCAAAAGCGCCTCCCTCACAGACCTCCCGCACCCCCGCCAGCCGCAGCACCCGCCAGCCTCCCGAGCACGCTGGAGTGGGGGTGGTCACACCTGGGCATGGGGCGCAAGGGCTCCAGCTCAGGCGCCGCCTCCCCAGGAAGCTGCAAGAATCCGAGGTGCAGCAGGCACAGCCGCCGCAGCCCCACCCCAGGCCTGACTCCACCACAGCCCCTGGCACCTTCTCCTGAAGGACCCTGTTTTCCCCTGCGGGGAGTGCAGGGCGTCTCAGGACGGAACAGGTATCGTATCGCATTCACGCCACCCTCCTGGCTCCTGGCACAAAGCCTGGACCCCACATTTGGGTAAACTGGGAAAGCGGTGGCGGGAGAGAAGAGCAGCAGGCAGCTGCAGGGAGGAGGGGGCTGATAAGGAGTAAAAGGGGGTGGCGGTGGTCCCAAGACAGGGAGGTGGGAGAGTTTCTGACACAACGTGGACGCATCTTAGGGCTCCACAAGAGCCTGGGCTGAGCAGATGCCGAGCCCTCCCAATGCCAGGGCACCCCCACTTTCCAGGATGCTCCCCCCAAGCCCTCCCAGCCCCTTGGCTCCAGGGCCCTGGCCCTGCCCCTCCCCGGGCCCCCAGCCAGGCCCCCTACTGGCAGCAGGACCCTACCCAGGAGTCCTGCCCCGGCCCAGAGCCTGTGCAAAGGTGCAGATCTCAGGCTGCGTGATTGAAAGGAGCAAAGCAAAGGCTGCGACCTGATTTTAAACCCCTGCTTTTAGATCTTGCTAGAAGCAACTCAATTATCTATATAGTTAATGTTCCACTAAAAAAACCCAAAAATGAAACTTCGGACCCGTTTGGGTGCTTCATTCCCAGATATCTTTTTTTTCCTTTAAAAAATTCATCAAAGTCCATCCCTCCTTCCCAGACATAAAGGGCGTCAGGCAGCAAGGAGAGACAGGGTCCTGCTGCGGAGCGGAGACACTGCTCCGCCTGCGGCTTCGTCATTTGTTTAGTTAGTTATTTCCTCACATCACTGTTAATTCTTGAACAGTATCTGATCCCTCCCCTCAGGTGCAGCTCCCCGGTTCTCCACCACCACAGCCCCTCTGTGCTCTTCCACCTCCTCTCCTGCTGCCTCAGCTGTTCCCTCAGCCTGCAAGTGTTGTCTTTCCTGTCTCTCTGATTTCTTCTCTTTTTAAAGATTTATGTATTTATGCAGACAAGAGCTGGGGTACAGGCCGGAGGAGGTGCGGGGCGAGAGGATTCCCCAGAGACAGAGCGGGGAGCAGGACAGGCAGACTGACTGAAGGACACCGCTGAGGGGAGCAGTGGGCGGCAGGAGAGGTCTGCGCGCCATGGGGGTCAGGCCCACAGGGCCACCAGCATCCTGGATGCAGGCGCGCGGGCCGTGGGCTCCTCGGGCCGGCGGAGGTCTCAGGTCTGGAACTGCCCGGGAGCTCCCAGCCCTTTACAGCTGACGCCCGCCCTGGAGGAATTCCCAGGACGGTGAAAGCTGAACAGGATCCACAGCTCAGAACAGAGAGAAAAGTGAACTCCAGGCTCTGACCCGCCCTCAGAGTGAAATCAGCCCGTCGGGCTGGGCGGCCTGTGCGGCAGCAAGCGGGAAACTACAAAAGGAAACGCAATTAAGAGGCGTCTTTAACACACCTAATTCCTCACTGCCGTTGCCCTGGGAGGAACGTGAACTCCGCTCGGGCCGCGCAGTCTTTGAAAAGTCGTGCTGTAAGTTTTAAGGCAAGAGAAGAAACGGGGAGCCTTTCAGGAGTAGAGGAGGACCCCGCAGAGCAGGGAGCCAGGGGGGCGTCGCGGGGAGGAGTTCACCTTCCCGGAGTTGGCCCTTCTAGACCGTCTGCTTCGGGATCTCACGGCCTGTCCTCGAGCAACCCCAAACCGAACAACTCATCGGGAAACGAGCTGGCCGGGAGTTGACGGTCATACACTTAAAAACAATCTTGTCTCCTTGTTCACACCTGGAAGCTGAAGCAACCCCAGATGCCCGAGCTTTTTAAAATCTGCTCGGCAAACCCCAGGGGAGGAGGGGCGGGCACACATGCTGGATCAGCAGTGGCAGAATGGCCAAGGCAGCCAGAAGGCATTATTTTATTTGATATTATAATCTAAGGATCGTTATTTTTCAAAAGCATATCCAACGTCTAGCAGGGTCCCTGAGCCCCCACTGGGCTGGGTCCATCAACGAGAGGGGGAGAAGGCCAGGGCGGGATCAAGGCCCGACCACCTCACCACCCCGCCGGCAGGGCAGGCTGGCACGGGAAGCCTTGCTTTTCAACTGCACGGGGCAAATGCCTTGGGCTAGGGGTGAGGAGGCCTGGGCAGGGAGCCTCTGACTCCAGCTCCTTTGAGAGCTGAAGTGCAGGCTCAGAGAGCGAACTGGAAGGCGGCAGAGAGGGTCAGTGGGCTCACTCATTCCTCCATCCAATATACGCTGAGGTCCAACTGTTGTAGAGTAACCCCGATACAAAACGGGGTGCCTGACCGTGGGTCCTCACCCGCGCGCTTGAAAGGACTTATCCATGCTCTACTGCAGGCACACGCGAAAGGTTCCTAAAAGGTTTACTGACAAGGGAAGGGGAAATGAGGAAATGTACAGCTCAGGGAGAAAAGTGGGAGACAAAGTTTTAAATGAGTCTTACCCGACCCACCGATCAGGAATCCCAAAATGGCACTGAGAGCTGCCGCCAGCCAGGAGCGGTGAAGCCAGGAGGCGAGCGACAGCGAGCCCCCCAAGGCCCACGTGTTTGGTTTTTTACACCCAACCTGGCTGCCCAACTCCACCCTCAGGTCCCAGCCACCCTCCCTTTGGTGGTGATGGGATGCGTCTTTCCCAGAGTCTTGATGGCTTTAGTCTGGAGTGGGGGTGGGGTCAACAAAGCCTGTATGGGATTAACTCAGGACAGCCTTTCCCCCTAACACTACCGAGGGGCTGAGCACTCAGCTAGTGCAAGTTCAAGAAGAGTTTGGATTTCAGCCCAAGTTAGAGTTGATTTTTAAGCCCCGCCTCTGCTGTTTTAAACCTGTATGAAGTTGACCTGTCTGAACATTTTGTTCCTCAGCAGCAAATGACATGAAGTAGAGTTGGTGGGAGAAGTGAGCAGCAAAAGCAGATCCCTGCCCCCATGGCAGTTACCGTTAATTGCATGCGAAGGACCTCCAAGATCAAGGGTAATGCCCTTGGACTGGGTGGTCCGTGGAAGGCCCATCACTGCATTCATCCAGTCAGCCCAGAAGCCACAGAGGGCTGCCTGGAGGAAGCAGCATCAGCTGGGGACCTGCAGACGGAGGGTGTGACATACTGTCAATATTCTAGAAATCACACTTCTCTGGCCCAGCAGGCAGGAAAGCAAAGCCACTGTCTGTGGGTGGAGACTCCCACTGCGGTCCAAGGGTGAGAGAAAGATTGAACACCACGTGCCCAGCCTTCCACTCAACTCCGGCATTGCCTTTCTCTGCACACAGGTGGCGTCCACTTACCTTCAGGTCAAAATATCTTAGGAAGCAAAAAGATCTAAACTCATAGACAGAAAACAGAAGCCTGGGCCTCCCTGGTGCATAGGGGTTAAAGTCCCAGAGCGATCAAGTTATGGGCAGCCGCTGCGGCCTGAGCTCCATCCTGGCCAGGGAGCTACCCACATGGTGCAGCAGACCTCTCCTGTCTCCCCGCTGCTCCCCTCAGCAGTGGATTTCAGTGGGTCCACCTGTTCTGCTCCCCACTCTGTCTCTGGTGAATCCTCTCACCCCTCGCACCTCTGGCCTGCACCCCAGTTCTTTATGCATAAATAAAAATTAGAAAGAATAATAATGATAAAAAACCAGACGCCCACACCACGCCCCTGCAGCTTGATTACCTCGCTGATTACCCTGCTGACATCACCGTCCCAGCTCAAACCTGAGGGCTGGAAAAGGTCAAATTCTCACCTTGATATTCTAAAAACCCTCTGTCTAATTACCATTGAGGCTTCATTCCCAGGGTCTAGAGTGAATTGGAACCCTCCCCACCGGCAACAACGCTAACCCCGCGGGACACAGAGACCTTCCCGCACACACCCCGGCGCAGGGCGTGGGTCTGACAATTAGGGGGCCCGGCCTCTGACACGGAGGCAACGGAGACCAGGCGGCGTCGGGATTCGAACCTGCGGCCCTCTGTGCCGCCCGGCGGTCGCGCCCCCAGCCCCGCCCGTTGCCCAGGAAACGGGTCGCGCAGGCGCGCACGTGCTGCTTCCCGCCGCCCGCCCGGCCGCCAGCGTCCTAGCGCTTTTTTTTTTTTTTAAATAAAACCCCAAGGCGGCGGGATACGGCAGAGGCCGACGTGAGCCGCAGGACGCCGCTACGTTCGCTCTCCGCCCCGGCCGCGGATCCTTCCGCCGCCCGGAGGCCGCGCGCTGCGTCCGACTCCCAGCGCCAAACGGCTTCCCGCACGCCGCGCTGCGCCCCACCCCCACCTCGTCCCCACCCCAACCCCCCGACCGCTCACCTGCCGCCCGCGTCTCCATAGCAACGCCCCCGCCGCCGAGGAAAAAAAAGCCTCGGGCTCTTCCGGGCCCCCTCCCGCGCCGCCGGAGAAGGCGGGGTGCCCCGCTGATGCTCCGCTTTTAATTTTTTTTTTTTTAAGAAAAGAGCCGGCGAGGTTCTGGCGAATCTGCGGCATCCAACATGGCGGATGGAGTCTTCGCCCTCCTCTTCCCGGGGCGCCGCCGCGGCGCAGCGCACGTCATCCGCCCGGGCCCGCCCCGGCCCCCGCCCCGGCGGCACTGCGCATGCCCGGAAGCGCCGCGCCTCGCGCCCCGGCTGGGCGGGTGCTCGGGCCCGGGGGCGGCCCGGCCGGCGCGTCTCGGCCCCGCGGGAGGGCGGGAGGAGGCCGGGGCTCGAGACCCACGTCCGCCCTTTGCCGAAGTCCGGGCCGGCGGCCTCACTTCCTTGGGGTCGGCCGGGGCGCCAGCCTGCGGGGAGGGCCCCGCCGCCCGCGCGCACCTGGGACACCTGGGGCACCTGGGGCACCTGCTCGGGCCCGCCCCCGGCCCCGCCTCCCCGCAGCGCCCGCGCTGGGCCCCTGTGCCTCGCTGGCTCGCTCCTTCCCGTCAGGGGAGTCCAGATCACGGCCCAGAGGACACCCCCACCCCCCCACCGCACCCCCCAAGTCACCTTCCATCCTCTGAGGCCCCCCGGCCCCTGTCGGACGTGACTTTACCTGGTCGCTCCTTTAGCCCAGAGACCCGCGCCGGGCAGCTGCGTCTGGAAGAAATGCATGTGCTGGTGCGGCTGCTGTCTCTGAAGCTATGTGCTGCTCGTAATATTAGCCCCACATTGAGGGCAGTAGTGCCAGTTTCTGCTTTCTAATCAAGCTTCCTTGATTTGCTGCTCCTTTACGAAGGAATAGCACTTTCACCCCCCACCCCTCGCCTCCCCCGCCTCCTGTGCCCACCATGTTTTGTAGGCTCTAGATAACCAAAAGAAAAACCTGGCAAAATAAAAATTTTCTATGTAAACGCATTTGCAGCTTTAAAAATTAAACTACTGAGGACACCTGAAACTTATATCATGTTATACATCAAACTTAGCTCTAAAGATTTTTTTTTTAGTCAAAGAAAGTGGTCCACATGATACAGAGACAGGCGAAAACAGTATGAGTAAAGAAGACAAGTGAGAAGTTTGAGAAACACTGATTTATTCTTATGGTGCCCCAAACTGCTAATCTTCGCCTGGTACAGGCCTGCCTTCCTGAATCACCTCTTGTCCCAGCTGCTCCACTTGAATGTCTTCAGACAGCCCCGGAGCTAACCCTGTGTGTCCCCTGGCCCTGGCCCAGGCTCCCCTGCACTGGTGCCCACCTGCCCCGTTTCTCTTGGCGCAGCCCGTGCCCCAGGAGCTAGACCGCAGACATACAGGGCTGTTTCATCCTCGTCCCCAGAGCCTAGTGCACAGTCATGTTCATGAACGGGCGTCATTGTCACTTACACTTCAGTAGTAGAACTCCCAGACGCTGAACGGGATGACCATCTGACTTCTCAGAGGCCTTTCTGCTTTAGTCCTGAACCCCATTCTTGGGACATGGGGTCATAAGACCCCCCGGTCCATGAAATACATGTTCAGAGGTATCTCCTCTCCTCTGCCCCTACATTCATCCTTATGACCACCAGGAGTCAAGTTGGGGAGATAGAATTCTACCTCTTGACTAGACGAGAAATGTTCAGAGAGGTTATGTGACTTTTTGTGATCAAACAGCAAGTCAGCGCAGAGCCAGGTGTGGAAGAGTTCTTTCCATGCCCAGTTTTCTTCCCACTTCTGCGATGTGCCCAAACTACTCATGACTCCCCCCAAAGAGTCAGGTGCAAAATCTTTTAGGGTTCTTTCTCCACACACCTGTCACCCTACAACACAAGATAGGTGGGACCATCACAATCTTTAGTTTGCAAATCAACTGCTCAAAAAGCGGCCCAATGAGCTTTCCCCTTTTAGACTTTAAACATTTATAATCATCACTATTTTGCCGTGCATCGATTTCTGTCAGGAAGCGAGCATTGTCCTGGGTTGCTGACAATATTGGTTTTGTACTGGTGGCCTTTCTTACAGCAGCATGTAAATGTTGCTTATTGATTAGCTGACGGATTGCTCCTGGATGCTGAGACCAAAATGAATTTTGGTAATGAAGCAATTTAAAATTTGTCTCAAAACCCACTAACCTCAGATAGTCACAAAGTCACAAAAATAAAATGAGCTTGGGTGATGGTCATGGATGAGCTTTTAGGACAGTGATGACTTTCTCCATTATTCCATGGTAGTTACTTCCTTCTCTATCAAGACGTCTCTAAGAACCTGTTATTCCTGACTGGCCTGGTCACAGACAGGAGGAAACCACTAGAGACTGTCTCTTTCTGTGGGACCATATTTGGCTCTTCCATCACTTTGCTGAGTGACTTGCACATTTTCAGTCAGCAAACATCTTTGCTCCTTGCATTTGCCAGTAATATCTAAAAATGCCTCCAATTAATGGAAAAGCATGTGTGGAATTAAACATAAATTGTTCAAAATTATATAATTAATGGCATCCTGCTTCAATGATAGCACTACGAGAAACCAGCTTCCCAGCTGGACCAGATCACGGTCCCTGGAGGCCAACACATGAATGAGTTTGTGTTAATACATTTAGCACCATGAAATGGTCTTCAGTCATATAATAGTTGATTTTCATAATTGAATATATTTGGGGCCAATAATTTTGTAAAGATACATCTAACAGCTATATTACAAATATGCATTTACATGAAAACAGATTTATATGCGTATTTTTATAAGATGCCGTCTTGAAAGCACATTTTGATAAAGGAGACTGAAGAGGTGACCTCAAAATAATGGGTCTTGAGTCACACTGCCCTGGTGGGATTAATCAGAGACTAAGTGAAGTGTTAAAAAGTCAAACAGGGGAGACCTCCCTGGTGGCACAGGCAGTTGAGCGCCACACTGTGAAGCTGTCCGCAGCCTCTGCAGCGCAGATTCAATCCCGGCCGGCCAGCAAGAGTCCCACATGGTGCAGCAGACCTCTCCTGTCTTGCCCGCTGCTCCTCTCAGCAGTGTATTTCGTCCGTCTGCCTGTTCTGTTCCACGCTCTGTCTCTGGTGAATCCTCTCACCCTCCCGTGCATCTGGCCCGTACCCCGGTTCTTGTGTAAAAATTAAAAAAAAAATTTTTTTTAAAGTCAAACAGGCCCATTGTAGACAAAAAGCCATTGTAAATTTTATGAGGAAAGGGTATGCAGCCTGTCGCACGACATGAGCACTCTTGCCATGAACATGGTAACAGAAGCAACATCTTTTCTAGGTCTGTCTTTCCAGGGGCCACAGAGGGTCACCCCATCCCAATTTGCTTGTTCCCTCAGTCCCCGAATACTGCCCTCAAAAGTATTTTTCTTGAAAGTAGCCCAGGTTCCTCCCAAGAAGCTGAGCCCGTGGCTGGAGCAGGGGCAGTCCCAAACATCATGCTATGGCCGGGAAACTAGGATGCTGCAGAAAATGCTGGAGAGTTGTGGGAAGGACCAAGGAGTCTTTCCAAGGACTAACTAGATCTGCAAGTTCAAGTTGAGCCTATGAAAAAACATGAGTCTTTAATGATGAAAAGGGAAAAAATAACATTACAGGTACAGAGTTACACCCATAAATGTGTAATCACAAAGCAAGTAGAAACTCAAAGGCAAAAATAGGGTATTTTAGTAAGTTGGCAAGCGTGGCAGATGCAGGATCCTGCTTCTCCCTTAGGGTTCTCTGTCGACGTGCAATGGTAGATCTGTGCACACTGAGGAGAGCAAATGTGTTTACTCCGAGTCAAAGATCTCCAGAAAGAGTGGGAACTGCGCAAAAGCCAGGAAGGGCAGGTCAAGACCAGTGGTCTCATAAATAACCAAGTAGAAAGAGGATGAGTAATTGGTGTTGCATGTTAATGGCTCAGCCAAGTGTCCCAGGAGAATGGCTGATAGATTCAACTGCTCCGTGCCCCGCTAATGACAGAGAAAGGCTGATTGTGCACAACGCAGTTCACTGTAAACGGAAGCAGGACGCCGTGTGTCCAAGGCTAAAGGTACACGGGGGTAAGGATCGCAAACTCTGCTTATAAGCCTGTTTGACAGAGCCATGGAGCTTGGCTAAGAGAAATCACCCGACCGATAAATGCACCTTCAAGTCAAGGATTCCGTGTTCCAACCCAGAACCCAGCGGCCAGGGGTCCAGAGGTGAGACGCCAGCACACTTGGGAAGGAAACCATCTTTCTTAGGGTCTGATAACTGCGTTCCTGAAAATGTACGACATTAAGTTTTCTAGAGATAAAAAAAAAAAAATGGTCAAATCAATAGCAATTAGATTTGACAAGCAGACAGAGATGTGGGGGCAGTAAAAAGTTTTGAGTTCGTGAGGTACTCGAGGCCTCCCAAAGTTGCCCGAGACCCAGTTTCGTGGAGGCAGGACCACCTGCTTGTGTCTGAGCCTTCAGGGCATGCGACTTGTGAGCTTTCACATTTGATTCAATTGCCACTCACATTTAAGTAGTTTCAAGAAAAACTAGTAGACTTGTCAGTCTAATAAATGTCCTTTAAACCAACTACGAGTTGTAGTAACTGGACCGAGCAATGGACAAGGAGGAGGCACCCTGAGCCCCAGGCAAGGAGGCAAAGTAGAAGCCTCCGCAGGGCCCAGCCAGCGCCAGGCCCTTTGCTGAGACCTGAGGAACAGCTGTGGAAGGAAAAGGGTGGGAGCGAGGGAGGAGAAGGGGAGCTGAAGGCAGGGAGGCAGAGAAAAGGGGAACGGAGAAGAGAGGGAGGAAGAAGCAAGGCAAGGCGGGGCAGCCCAGCAGGTGAGAAAGGGAGGAAGCGAAGGGTAACAAAACACTGTTTTTATGGCTGGTGCATGAGCAGCCCCGACCTCCGTGTTCCCAACAGAGCACAGTTTGGAAAAGCCTGGGTGTCTGCCCTGATGCTGCGCAGAGAACCCCGGAAAATCCCCAGGGCACAGATTCTGGGCGGCAGCTTGGCTGGTCTGGGGCTGAAGATGGAGCCCCCAGGGCACCTCTCACTGAAGGTCTTCGCAGATATTCGAGTGTCTCAGCAGGTGCATGCACGGCCTTTCTGGGGTAGCAAAGAAGGGACGGAGGCCCAAAGCTGGGTTCTGTAACTCAGTGTCTGT